ATCGAAGTGGAGAACGTTCGTGGATAGTGTCCAGTACGCATTGAAGTGGAGAACGTTCGTAGATAGTGTCCAGTACGCATTGAAGTGGAGAGCGTGTGTGAGAGTGTTCAGATCACATTGAAGTGGATAACGAAAAGCAGAGGATGACGTGGACCACTTCTAATCGCAATTCCAACGGAGAAACATGCACAGGTGGCTTGGGACCTACTCTCACATGAAATCCCCACGGAGGGACGGGAGACCTACTAATATCTGATATTCCCACGGAGGGACCGGAGACCTACTAATATCTGATATTCCCACGGAGGGACCGGAGACCTACTAATATCTGATATTCCCACGGAGGGACGGGAGACCTACTAATATCTGATATTCCCACGGAGGGACGGGAGACCTACTAATATCTGATATTCCCACGGAGGGACCGGAGACCTACTAATATCTGATATTCCCACGGAGGGACCGGAGACCTACTAATATCTGATATTCCCACGGAGGGACCGGAGACCTACTAATATCTGATATTCCCACGGAGGGACCGGAGACCTACTAATATCTGATATTCCCACGGAGGGACGGGAGACCTACTAATATCTGATATTCCCACGGAGGGACGGGAGACCTCCTAATATCTAATATTCCCATGGAGAGATAAGCATAGGTTGCTGGGGAGTTACTCATAACTGGTATGAGTATTAGTTATCTTACTTTTTATACAAATACGTCTAGAATTAAACAATTATTAACATTATAAACATAGCCGTAAAATAAAAAGTGATAGTGGTATAGACGATGGGGTGATCGGATCAATCCACATAAATATAATATCACGATGCGGCAAGATACTTACCTTAAAACACAAATTGTGTGATACAACATGTTATCATTTGAAAATCCATATTTCTATGTTGCTATTCTTTTAGTAACCTTTAAACCAAATTGTTTTGAAAATATTCTCTATTATTTTTATTTATACAGACAGCATTATTTCGGACATATTTTTATTCAACATGAATTAAAGGAACATCAATATTAATTAATAAAGGATAAAATGTACTTTAACCCGTTATGATATTGGAAAGGTAAATGAGCAATACAAAAACTAGCTAAGGTATCTAAAGATATTGCTAAGGATTGGTTAAGGAAACAAGCAATATGGCAAATATACTTGCCAGTCCCACGATATATACCGGGGAAAAAAATTAATATTGCCACAACTAATGAAGTTCATCGGGCTGACCACTTCTTTCTTACACGGTAAGTAAGACGCAAAACATATAAACATGCTTTAACAGTAGTAGATGTAGGAAGTCGATACAAAGAGGTTGAACGATTTACCTCAATACATTCAAAAGAAGTAGCTAATGGACTGGTTCGCATATATAAACGCGGACCCTTAAGTGGCCTGCGTTATTTCAAGTAGATCCTAGACGCGAGTTTATGGGCTCAGTAACTAAACTATTAATAAAGCATGATGTTACAATCAGGCATATTGAAAAAGAGGCCCATCACAGCCAAGCTATAAGATTTTAACCGATCATTAGCAGAGTGCTTGTTTGGATATCAATATGCTCAGGAGATGGTGATGACTCATAAAAGATCAGTGGAATTGGTGACACGATTATCAGCTGTTGTATCAGCGCTAAATAATGAAGTGACAAGAATAATTGGTAAGAAACCATCTAAAGCAATTAAAATGAATTCTGTCATTTATGTATCTTCAACGCCATGCAGAGGTAAAGAACAACAACTTCCAGATAGTGAGTGAGTGAGGTTTTACGCCGCTTTTAGCAATATTCCAGCAATATCACGGCGGGGGACACCAGAAATGGGCTTCACACATTGTACCCATGTCGGGAATCGAACCCGGGTCTTCGGCGGGACGAGCGAACGCTTTAACCACTAGGCTACCCGACCGCCCCTCTTCCAGTCTTCCAGATAGAGTAAGTGTAAGATATTTATACCATCCCAGTGAACTCGAAGGAGGTCAAGGTCTTGCAACTAACCCAGTTTGGTCGCTTAAATATATAGCAGTAGTCGATTTGGTTATGAAACAAGGTCAGCCTTTTTTATATTATATTAAGTGAAGTGAAGTGAAGTTTCTTATAGTTCCCAGCGATACTGTATTACCTCCCTAAGTAACCATATGCATAGGTAGTTATACAATCCTCATCATTCCATCTCGTTGTGTATAAGGGGTGGGGTGGGGTGGGGTGAGGGCGTCAGCTTCGTTGGTAGTGCTCCCCATAGTCTCATGTCCCGTAGAAGGTAACCAGATTGTGACATGAAACGTTTCCGACCACATGTATATGTTTTACTTTGTAGCAAATAAACTAAACTAAATGGATTGTCTTATCGAGATAAAAAAATTGCTTGAAGAAGCTTAGCGGTTTATATTTGGGTCTATCTCGCATGCACACAAAAAGCAGTATACAATAGTGCATTGAATTCAACCTACTCGCGGTCCATTAACCCAGGCAGAAGATAATCAAAAATATTAAGATCCTTTTGTCATGTAACCTACTTTCGCGATGTACATCTCTTGTAGAACAGTACAAAATCACTAATCAATGAACTGATCGATATCACACAAAAACAAACTACACAAACGTATCACAGCGTGCCAATAGGCACTTGTTTTAACACATCATTCAACCTTACTTATTTCCAGCACAGCTGTAAAGGTGGAAAAAATTACAACAATCATAATTCAGGGACGGGTGCTTAGTTTGTAATGCTATTAGCGTATAGCCATGACGTCACACTTATGCTGTTGGTGGGTGTGGGCCTAACTACTTGAGAGTTTAATCCTCCCTCCTATTTGTGTGCATCCAAACATCCGCCAAACATTGATATTTTTCTGTCTCACATAAGGAGGAATAAATACGCCTGGGAGGTGTTCAATAAAGACTGGAGTTATATATGGTATAGAAGTTTCCAAACACTTCTAAACGAGTGACGTTTTGCAAAAAGTCTTCTGGGGTATATGTGGTTGGGCGTTCTTGTCAGTGTGAGAGCGTGTGTGTTGTTTTTTTATATTTCACCTTTACGGTTATTTGTTTGCTAACTGATAATGAATCCCGTGATTTCACAGAGCACCCATCACTGTCATATTTAAGTGATTGAGTGAGTTAAATGTTATTTGTTTGTTTGTTAATGCCGCACACAGCAATATTCCAGATATAGGACGGCGGTCTGTAAATAATCGAGTCAGGACGACACAATCCAGGGATTGATATGAGCATCGATCAACGTGATTGGTTGGTTGGTTGGTTTGTTGTTTAACGCCGCACTCAGCAATATTCCAGCTATATGACGGCGGTCTGTAAATAATCCAGTGATTAATATCATGATCATCGATCCACGCAATTGGGATCGATGACATGCATCAACCAAGTCAGCGAGCCTAACCACCCGATCCCGTTAGTCGCCTCTTCCGACAAGCAGAGTCGCCTTTTACGGCAATCATGGGTTGCTGAAGACCCATTCTAACCCGGATCTACACGGGTAAGTTAAAATGTTACATCGCATTGGCAATATTGCAGCCATTACGCGATAAGGACACGAGAACAAAAGACAGTAAAACAGGAAGGTATGCATCACAGTTTAGGCTGTCATATATTAACGTGCTACACGTTTATATGACAACTTGAAATGTCATTTAAGGAGGTATAAACGTACTGAGGACCAATTCGTCTGATTTACCAATATAAGATATACACAAATTAAAAGTTAGGCACACCCCTATTTCTGAACCATGACAAATGCAAGAATCATGGCATGGGATGACTGAGCACAAGAGCTGGGCCATACCAATGTCATCGGATAACCATTTGACAACAAATAAAGAAGATACTGGTTAGTTGTGATTGAAATGTACTGACAAAAACATCATGGTCACACAGACAATACCTTAAAAAGTATGGAGCTGCAGGATTAATTTAACGCGTTACGTTTGATGTTTCATGTGAAAATGTTCCTTAAAGTCTCTACTTGACATGACACGAGAAACAGATAAGTAGCGGGTATAACCGCCACGTGCCAGGATGACGCATTCCACCCTACGTCTCATGCCTCCAGTCAGACGTTGGATCTGTTGATAAGCCAACAACAACCACTCCTGATGCAATGCTGCTTCCAATTGGCGTAAATCTTGAACAGGATAATCTCGTGCCTGTATGCGTCGCCCCAGAATATCCCAAACATGATCAAGGGGGTTCAAATCTGGGCTCATTGCTGGCCATGGTAGAGCCGTTATTGCATTGGTCTTCATGTAATCCACGACTACATGCGAACGATGAGGCCTGGCATTGTCATCAGCTGTTTCAGATGAGTACTTGTTAAAAAGGGTTCTCGGCGTATGAGACGAAGAAGGTCCCTGTCTTTGCGATGTGTCGTCACAGGAGGTCTTCCGTCCTGTACATCACCGGTCTGAGCATGTTTCTCTCCAAACGGCTTACGACAGAGTGATGATACCCCAAATTCCGACCAATGGCTTTACAAGACATTCCTGCGTTGTGCATGCCGATTATTTGCCATCTTGTGGCGTTTGATAATCGCCTTCGTGCCAAACAATAATGAAATATACTAGGGTGTGCTTAACTTTTTTCTTTGTGTATATCTATCTAAATCTACCGCTGTTAACATTTAATGTTAAGCATGCATTTTATGAAAGGAACTTAGCTACATTCTACATTACGACATTCTGTGGAATAGCATCCACGTTTGTTATTATAAGCACTTAATACAACTTAAGTGATAGGTGTATATGGATGAACAACTTCTTTATAACAATTATGAGCGACTAACTAAGATGTAGTTACACTGGAATGGAGAAGCCTGTCGTGTACACAAATGGGTAAACATATTGACCGGTGAAGTCAGTAACATAAACCCACACCGACATGTCGCTCCAAATTGTAATAAAGAAGTTGTTCATCCATATATCTTATCCTTACCTAGTACTCCAACTTCTAAATGCCTCTCAAAGAAACACTTACGTGATGTTGTGACCAGCGAGGAGTCCTTCTCCCTGTGCCCTCTCGATGGCCAAAGTTGCTGCTGCCGCATTGTTCTCCCAGCCAAGTCGGACATGTCGGAACGGACTCAACATCCCCAGTCGGAACTCCCTTGCTTGACAAGAACCTAACAGCAATAGTTTAAGACGCAGCAAGAAACAAGCAGCTTGTATCTTAACTTTTAAATGCTTCATGTTGAATACGTTCTTAGGATTCCAATACCATAACTGATGAGCGATCCATGCGCAATGTCTTGAAATACTCCACCGTCTATTTAAATATGTAAGAAACCATAATTGGTGTTTGCTGTCATCTGTGGGCACAAAGTTATAGGTGAAGACATCAATAACGTTCCCGTCGGTAGACTAATGTGACAAATGAGAGGTTTCGGTCGTTGCAACATGCTGACACATGGCGTGTCTCGGTACCTGCAGTCCTATGTTAACGCATGGCATATTACCAGAAGGCGGATCATCACCTGTGTCTATCCATCTGATCACGGCGAATCAGCGCGGTTTACTTCAAAGCACGCTGTGAAGATCAATACCAAGCCATATATGCATGGGCATAGGGGGAGATCCTTACACGTCGCGCTGGTTTAATCAAGAATGGTCCATAACAACGGATATGTCTTAGACAATATTAAATATCATGTGATTGCTAAAAACTCTACTTTATTGACATACTTGGATATGTTATCAGACTGTCCAATTAGATTTTAAAATTGGTATAACAGTGCAGTGTTTATGTTGAAAATGTATGTACACAGGTCAAATGTGCACATCTGTGCTACTCCATACCTTTAGCGAAACCACATATATAAATAGGCAACTAACTTTATATATAGGAAACAGAAAAATAGACCAATCACTTTATGGGAAACATCAGTTTTCGAAATAGACATCGGCTGGTAGGTCCGAGGCCGTCAGATTTGTCCTCGGGCTGATAGTTATATATTTCAGCCCTTGCGGCCTGCAGTTTATTTAAGTTATTATTTATTAAGCATTATTTTAGTGATGTGATAAACATAACTTTCATATTTACAAACAGTAGGCTTAGACCTTTCAAATGGTGTATGACATGTAGTCGCAAAGATGGTTTACAAGCTGATCATTTCCTGATAAATGTTGGCTCTATTTATCACCACCGAGTCTCCGTTTTGTAATTTCTATAGCAAGCGGTTCAGCTAAAATGTTTGGGCCAACAGTTTGTTTTTTCACTGGGCCTACAGTTTTTTAATATGCTGTCCCATAAGGTTCTCATGATCAGTTGAAGTTTCAGACCCTGGAAAATATAGATAGGAGTAAATAGACCACTCACTATATGGGAAACATACAAGATAAATCGATAAATTGAGAAACGTGGAATAAAACATGACCTTTGTGTAGTGGAATGAACATCACTGTAACCAACACGTTATACTGTCTTACAAACCTCCGGTGACGTCATGCATTATTCTATACAGGGGTTCCTTCTATAAGCAAGTATATAGACTCAATCAAGGTTGCCGACTTGCATAGGGAGGTTTTGTTTTCAAGTATTAGTATTTAACTATGTAGTGAATGGCAGATCAGGTTTGTTGGCCAGGATACATCTGAGGCTGTATACGGGCCTATTCCAAAGAATGTTGTTTTAATCATTTTCCCTCATTTTTCCTGACGCCCTCTACATATTCCGGGTCGTACTATGGATGGCCCTCTTTGTTGAAACCACAAGCATGGTGACGACGGTGATAAAATGATCGAGCAACACCATCATGTCGCTATAGATACTGTGTTTGTGCCAAAGCTGGGCATCCACTGACAATGTGTTGGACAGTCTCATTAAATTTATTGCATAGTCTACATTTCATATTTACATTTTGATGCAAAATCACACATTGACGGTTTTATGTGGGAAGTGACTGGTCCTGAGCAGCAAACAGAAAGCCTGCTGTTTCACTTTTCAGGCCAGCCGACTTCATACAAGCGAACGACTCTGCAGTGTTGCTCAACACACTGCACATAAACTCGATGTAGTGGTCGTTCGGATAGCCTCTCCTTGAAAACCTGAGTCTGGGCCGATTTGATATGGCACTTCGCTTGGTTGACACTCATGTCTATACAGTCCAGCAGTACAGAACCATCAACAATATCAACACTGACATTGAGATTATGTCCCACATCCTTGGCTCGTTTAAGGAAACTCTGGAATGCCTTGTTTTTTATAATGAGTCTTGACATGCTTCACAAGAGGATCATCATATAAATAAATGTTGGTAAAAGTGCTCAAAACAATTCTATCATGAAGAGCCTCCATGTTAATCAAACCACGCCCTCCCATTACACATGTGCATACACGTCTCTGTATACCGTAAGTGCAATAATCTTGGACGCGACGTCAAAAACCCAATTTCACATCACCTTAGAACAGATTGTCAACAAGGCGGTAATTTAAATCATCTTACACCAGTGATACCCCATGGGATAGGTTTTATAGATCCTTGGTTGAAAATGATTGGTGCTGAGCCCAGCTATTACGATCTGGCGATAAGTCTAGTCAACAAGTCTTCACAAATCTCATTTCGGAGAACTTCAACAGGGATGTTATCGTGACAAAGTCTACCCTCACCTTTGCTAGCAAGACTGTTTACTGAGGGATCGGCAAATGTTTGGTCTACTAGCAATTGGTCATCAAACAGGTTGTTCCTAATATTTTATGACCGGTGAAGTTCCGGGTTAGAATAGGTCTTCAGCAACCCAAGCTTGCCGTAAAAGGCGACTATGCTTGTCGTAAGAGGCGACTAACGGGAGCGGGTGATCAGGCTCGCTGACTTGGTTGATGCATGTCAATTGCGTAGATCGATGCTCATGATACCATTCCTGGATTGTTCGGTCCAGACTCGATTATTTACAGACTTCCGTCACACAGCTGGAATATTGTTGAGTGCGGCGTTAAAAAACAAACAAACAAATCCTAATATTTTGTAAGTGCAACGAAGCATATTTCTCGCCATCGTCAGATTCTGTAAAATATTATAACCAAGGGTAAGCCTGTTCCTTAGTGTTTGACACATTCAGTGAATCTCTCTATTAGGATATAGAATCTTCCATTAGGATATTTGTTTTCCTACAATTAGCGGGGCCAACTTTTCAAAAAAATTCAAGAAGATTTTTCACACAAAAAATTCAAACAATTTCTCTGCATAAAGTCATTAGCCAATTCATACATCCTTTGTTGTTGGTATTGACGTTTCTATCGTCTTAATTGTCTGTTGAACTTCTTTCTATATAAACAAAATCTAAATTTAATTTTCTTCATTATCATGTTATTATATTTCAAGCAGGTTCTATCATTGTATCATTGTATACTTAAATTAAGGAAGAGAACTATGGATGTCAACTTCTTTATTATAAGGAACTCAAGGTTTCGGAGTATATACTGACTCCTTCATCAGGTGAATAATGCTATGAAGCAGAGACCGTATATATGTACCTGTAAGACGACAATAGTAATAAGATGACAAAGATGGAAACTTAATAAGGGAAGTTAATTGACGCTGACTAGCAATGGACAATTGGAAACCAACACATCACAGTTAATTAGCGCTGTCAGGGATTGACAACTGAAGACAGGACTTACATTATCACTGGTTGGTAATAGGCGATGGACAATTAGAAGCGCTGTTGATTAGCGCTGTCAGGGATGGACACCTGGAAGCATGGACTTACATTATCGCTGGTTTGTAATAGGCAATGGGCAATGGGCAAACGGGAGTCAGGGGGTAATAAGCATTGATAGGTAATATGATACATATGCATTTCGAGAATAGTAGTGACCATTCCATACATTTGCTTTGGTGCAATGGTGTCATGTCGTGGCTGTGGCTTGGTACAACATAATTTCACATGTACGACTTCGATGATCTAAAAAACAATTAGTGTTTTAGGTAGCAGAGTATTATACTCATTAGACATTTCAATCAGTTATAACTAATTAAGTTCTTAACTTAAAAAGCTAAAGGGAAATAAAAAAATTAAAAAATAATTTTTGTAGCCAAGTATTTCATGAATTAGCTTGAAAATACATTATGTAAGCATATCAAAAAGAACTAATATTAAAAAGAATAATTATTACCCATTATTTTTATTATTGCTAGAGTGAGTGAGTGAGTATGATTTTACGCCGCTTTTAGCAATATTTCAGCAATATCACGGCGGGGGACACCAGAAATGGGCTTCACACATTGTAACCATGTCGGGAATCGAACCCGGGTCTTCGGCGTGACGAGCGAACGCTTAAACCACAAGGCTACCCGACCGCCCCGCCTTGCTAGAACACACACGCGCCACTCCTACGTGAAGGCAATTGTGTTCGAGTGTGTTTATTTTTTCAGTGACATTACCTTACTGTAAATAATCGATTCTGGTGTTGACAAACCAGTTTTTATTGCATGAAGAACGATCCTGGACGTTCCTATAAGATGACACAAAATAAGCATACGTATCAAACACCCAATCCTCATTGTATTCGACAAGCATAAGATGTTGGGAACTTATAATCCGACCAAGATTTCACACGGGGTTGTATGTTCTGAAACAACTTTGGTTTAAACATTGACACTAAAGGTTTGATCCATTTCGGCAGTATTTTGAATTGAACATAATATGCTTCGATCTCACATGCTTACCTTCCAAGCAAAATCAACAACTCAAACATGACACTAGTTGAGAAGCATAGTTATATTTAAGAAGGTATATTTCTTCTGTACGGTTTATCACAATTCTCAGGTAATATTTGATTTAACATACTTTCGCGTTAGAACACGTTGTATCGCTGACGTGCGCATGATCTGCTCTCATGTTTGCACGTCGTCCTGCGCAATAAACCATGTTATGAGCAAGTTAGATATTATAGTCGTGGTTTAAACATATTTTTATTTCAACTGAAAATTGGAATCGTTAAACAAGACAGTGCATATTTGAATAATTCTCCCTACATAGAAATCAGGTAACAAAGATGGTCAAGGTGTTTACAAAATATTGAAAGATATTCGTATGTACACTATGTTCTCTGTAACCTAATAACTATTCATAACAGTGGGGTTGGTGCTGAATGTTCAATTTGTCCTCTTCAAAACTTGTAGGTCACGGGCCTTTTTGTACAAACGAAAGACAATTTAGGTGCAAACAGTATAAAATATGACACATTTCTTTGCTTTTTTAACAAAAGCAGTCTCAGCATGTTATCAAAGTTGGAGTATTTTTGTTCATACAGCATTGGCATAAAACAAGTATTTTGCTGTATTCATATTGATAATAAGGTCTTGCGATGACAGTAGTGTATTAAACTTCAGAATAATTAGAAAGATGTAAAATTTAGGTTTTATGTAACTCT